TCAGTGGCAGCTTTCTCTTCCTCCATGGCTGTTTGGGCAAATTGGGTCTAGAACAGTCAGGTCTCCAGGGGTTGTATGAACGGCAACAGCAACAGTGATATATTTCCAAGTCAGGATGGTGAATGGATTGGAAAGGACCTTGCAGTTGGTGATGTTCCCATGTATCAGCTGCCTTTGTTTTTTTCAACAGAAGTGGTCATAGGTTTGGAAGTCGCTGTCTAAGGATCTTTGACAAATTTCTGCAATGCGTCTTGTAGACCATACACACTGCTGCAGCTGAGCATCTGTGGTAGAGGGAATAGATGTTTGTGGATGTGGTGCCAGTCAAGCGAACTGCTTTGTCCTGGATGGTGTCAAGCTTCTTGAGTGTTGTTGAAGTTGCACTCATCTAGGCAAATGGGGAGTATTCCATCACACGACACTCCTGGCTTGTAGATGGTGGACAGACTTTGAGGAGTCATGATATGAGCTGCTTGCTGGAGTATTCCTAGTGTCTGACCTGCTCTTGTAATCATTATATTCATATGGCAAGTCCAGTTGAATTCTGGTCAATGGTAAACACTAGGATGTTGATAGTGAGGGATTCTGTGATAGTAACATCATTGAATGTCAAGGGTACAAAAGGATGGTCTGTGAAATATCATGTCTTGTACATATTTTCCCAACAATTCTTTCAGCATTCTTTGATTTCCTCTGCACATTGTGGAATGGGGCTGCCATCTGTACATTGTTTTCACAAATCTCCTATGGTAACGATCTGGATCAAGGTTCTATGAACTGGAGGGCATGAAGGGAAATCCCAAAGAAAAAGTGCATTCACCTCTGTATTTGTATCTTTAACTTATGTTTCTTTTAACAATTGTCAATCTAGCTGGACTCACAAATTGGACAAAGCTAATCCTGATCATATTTCCAGATTCGTCTGAACTGAAAACAACAAATCCTGGAGATCTCAGCAGGTCAGGCAGCATCCATGGAGAAAGAACAGGCTAACATTTTGAGTCTAGATGACTCTTCATCTTCTGAGCCCCTGTCTTGTATAGATGTTTAAACTAATCTTAACACAAGGGGACTGGAGAAAAGCCATTTACTTCCAGCCAGCTCTGGACTATCAAAGACATCAAGGCACATTTTACTGAAATGGACGCTAAGGCTTTTGTAGTTATTTTATCACTTCATATTGAAATTTGAATGGGGCAGATAATGCTACAGGTTTAACTTCACAACTTTACAATCAACAACCAGAAGTGCATGTCCATGGTAAAAGACTGAATTCAGAACTAATTAATTTCCTTAATTATATAATTCTGGGATTCTAAATCAGTAACTCTTTGACATGCAGAATGAATGCAAGACTCCAGGCTGAGTTGGCAGATTATCTCAAACTTCCATGTCTGTCTTTAGTTGTTGGCCAGATAGAAGTCCAAATATAACCTGCACAAAGGAAATTTACAAGCTCAGCTCACAAAAGGAAACTATTGTTGGACACTTATCTCCAGGAAGTTGTAACTCCATGAACTGATTTTTATACCTGTGGATTTATTAAAGATTATCAACTGCGAGCCGTCTTCTGTCTTGTCTTTTTTTAATTTCCTGAGCACTTGTCTGTGTATATATGGAAACAATTCCACTGTGCTTTGAATGTTTTGTTAATAAAGCCTATTTTTAATCTATCTTCAATGTTTTTGTTGTGAGTTTATTTCAAAGATTGGAATCTGAAAACCAGAGTTTGAGGATCATCCTCTGGCCTACCTCACTAAGGATGCGAGTGAAAAGGAAAAGGAGCAAAGCAAAAATTACTGCGATGTCTTGGATTTAAGAGGGGAAAAGCAAAGCAATCATAACTTAAACTCACCCCCATTGCCCCTTTGTCTGTGACAGAACCCACACAGTTCTTCACTCCACTACTGCTCAGATTTTCTCATTGTCTGGAGTCCTGCCTTCCCTGGTAATGATATGCCCAAAGCACTACACTATTTTCCAGAAAGGTTGGTATTCCTATGGCTTGACTTTCAAGCAATAAGATGGGCTAAGGCTGTGTTTACTCTTTCAAGGGTCCCTTCAAATATTCAGCCAAAAATAGTAGATAAAGATATACAGGAGAAACTGGCATTAAGGTCACCAAAATCTTTATCCATCATATACATGAAGGTGGCAGGGCCATTACAGAGCCCAAATTGCATTCTCGTCTATTTATAAAGTCACCTGGTGCTAGTTTGGGGTGCTCATCTATTCAATGTCTTGTTCAGTGAAGCGTAGCTGGTTATAATCATGGGCTAAATCAAGAAATACTTTGCACCTTTGAGAACTTGTAATGCCTCTTTAACTGGAAGTAGAGGATAAGCATTCTTAGGAGTCTTTGCATTGAGCATCCAGAAATTGACACAGATCCTCATTTTTCCATCTTTCTTCCTCATAAGGACTATGGGTGAGATGCATTTACTTGAAAATTTTGGATGATACCTCACTTCAAAGTAATTCTACACTTCCTCCCAGTGACAGCTTAGGATCTGGCATGAGGAATCTTTATTTGGTCATCATGGTTTGCCCCAATTATGCTGCTCACCCAATATCATCACCACCTTTACTGAAAATTGTCCTTTCTTTCATTCATTCACAGGATTTGGGCATCGCTGGCTAGGCCAGTATTTATTGCCCATCCCTAGGTGCCCAGAGGGCAGGTAAGAGTCAACCACTTTGCTGTGGATCTAGAAATCAGATTTTAACCACACCAGGTAAGGATGGCGGTTTCCTTCCCTAAAGGACATTAGTGAATCAGATAGATTTTTCCAACAATCGATAATGATTTCATGGTCACTGTTAGACTCTTAATTCCACCATCTTCCAAGGGAGAATTTTAACCCGTTTCCCCAGAACAATACCTGGGTCTCTGGATTAACAGTCCAGCGACAATACCATTAGGCCATCACCTCTCCCATTTGATGAGAATACAGACAAGCTGTCTTCCCTTGGACTCCTTCAACTTGCCAATGTCCATCTCTGAAATGAGGTTATAGATGTCTTCTTCCAGTTAGTCATCTGCCCATGACGGTTTAAGTCACCTATGGGTGCTCTAGATTGGAGGTAAATATCTTTGTCACTGAAATTGTCAACGTGCAGGGGTACCTGACCATTTCCTCACAGTGATGAGGCCAGTCATAGAGTTGTTGCAAATGGGAACTCTGCTACATGTGACAAGCAACATTTTAGCAAGGCTTGACTTTGGCCACTTGGAGACAGCTGGCATGAGTCTTCAAAAGAAGTGACAGTGTAGTGTAGTGGTGTAAAAGAATAAATTGATTCCCTGTTATTCACACAGTTCTGAAGTCCTGTACAGGCTAATATACACTTTGAGTGCATGGAGCAAGGGCAGAGTCTCCTTAGACCCACCTGTTAACCTTGTAATGTACTATACATACTAGTAGCAATTTGCACTTTCCAATGCCCCAATACCTCTTTTCATGTTCAACCTCAACAATCTCAACTTCTTACTTCTACTGAAGTATCACTGGGTCTCAAACTGTCAGAAACCCCAGGCAATGAACAGTGTAATTGAGGACAGATAGGACATATCAATGTAGCCACGATAAGGGTTGTCTGACCTCTACACAGTAGACACCTAGAAGAAGAAAGAAAATGTGAACAACTCACATCCCTCCACAAGCTGCTCTTGGGGGAAAAAACTGATAACATTAACACCTTTGCTCCAATGTCAGTTAGCCTGTGCTAAAGTTTTTCTGATCATCACTAACAAATTACATTTGGAGTAACTTGTCTGACAGTAAATGTGCTTTATATAATTGTAATAAGCTCTTGCAGTACCTCAGTTAATAGAATATACCCAGAATATTTTTTGTCACAATGATTAAAATACTAACTAAACAAATTGCCAGTTTGCTGTCTTGTGTAAAATAAGCCATTCTACTAATTTCCTACAAATGTTGATGCTGTATATTTGGTACATACTCATCTGAAGCAAAAATTTGAATTTCTAACCTGTTAGAAAATGCAGATAAACCACTTGTATAGATAAGGTTGAGTTGTGTGCTTATTTCAGACTTTAGACTATTGCAACATTTGAGCAACGTTTTTTAATTGATCTTTAAAACACCAAGCTAATTTTAGAATTTGAAAGTTTAAGCACTGTTAATACTTAAAAGGAATGTTGTAAATATTTTATATGCCTTGTAATGTGTCTTTAATACCTATGCCATATCACCCCCGGGTGATATGCTTCGATAGCAGTACATTTATGAAAAATATCAGTAAATATACTACCCAGTAGAGGCACATCTCCTCACTCATTGGGTTAAATGCTTTGACCACATCCTGTTTTGAGTAGTCAGTAATTTATATTAAGAGGACAAATTCCACTCTTAGTTTTCAGATAATTCTTAATGGCAGCTTACACTACTGCTACCTTTAACAATCAATAATAGGCTTTTAATGATCCCTCATGTATTGTTGGTTTTCATTGAATCATAGGATGATATATCACAGAATAAACCATTCGGTCTAACATGCCTGTGCCAGCTGTTTCAAAGACCTAGATGATTAATTCCACTCCCCAACCCTTTACCCAGAGCCCTACAGTTTTTCCCCTTTCAGGTTGTGCGTTACATTGAAGCAAAATATGTGATGTTTAACCACTTTCAGTTTTAGATTCAAGGACAAATAAGACACTGGTGGGATTACACTTCAACTGCAGCTAAGTTTCTAGATAGCTTTGTTAATGACCTGCATGTAAATCTGAACCATGTAACCATGGAAACACACAGTCACATTTGTGACTGAATCTTCATTGTCTTTTAGCTAAATCAGTCACTGAACTTCTTCAATCTAATGAGGAACTAACTCTAGAACAAATGTTTCCAAAGCAGTGGACAGAGACCCTAGAGAATTGTTCAAGAAACATTATGCAGCAAAAGTTTCATTTAAACAGAACATTCTATAGACAGCGTTGACTACGAAAAGAATGAAAGCATTTGATCAGAGCAAGTACATTTATTTGAAAACCATTCAGTATGTGACAATATCAATGTGAAATCCCAAGTAAGCTAATGTTATAGTCACATGTGTGGCTTCAAAATCCCAGATCCATAAAGACAATGCCATCCAGTCTTGCACTAACAATGTATTCATTATAGAAAAAGGGGTCACTTTTCGAAGATGTACTATAACCTAAAAAACAAACCAAGAATCAAACCAAATTGTTGCCAGGCCAAGATGTAAATTCATGTCTCTTGGAACAAAATCTTGAAGTACTGGTCAGTTCTGCAATGGAACAGGTTTCATTAATTGGGAACAGCATTACACATAAACAACAACACTCTTTTCTCAGAGGATTATTACAATTACTCAATCTAGAGGCTAATGATGGAGAAGAAACAACCCAACCTGCCACACATTTCTGCAATTACACGAACACAAGACCCTCCAACAAGCACTGTTGGTTTAATGGAGCCAGCAAAAAAGAAAAGAAAGCTCATCAATTTTATTTTGCATTTACAAATCTTGTTATAGTCTTTTCAGGCTAACTTTTCAATATTGATGTATCAAATCTAAGACTTGGGGAGAGTCAGGAGACATAAAGTAAAGAAACATGGTTTGTTTTATTAAGAAAAAATAATCTAGATGACTCGTCTGTGAATGCATAAAACTGTTAACCAGTGTTTACGAGTGGGGGAGTAAACTTGGGGAGTGGTGTTTTGTAAGGATGTTAGGACCTCAGAGCCACTTAATATCATGCATAATATGTGTTCCAATTACTTCTTACCCGGATAACCAACCTTCCCAGAATACAACAGGCACTCCCCTTCTGCCAAACACAGGCTGATTCAGTGGCACTCGAAATGGCTTGTGTAACAAATTTTGTTATCTGCACGTGAAGCACCCAAAAGTAGTGTAACAGTGGCAATTGGAACATGGAACATGACAGGCCCTTCGGCCCACGATGTTGTGCCGAACTTTTACCCGAAACGTAAGGTCTATCTAACCTCCACCTCTACCTTATACTATCATCCATATGCCTATCTAATAGCTGCTTAAATGCCCCAATGAGGCCGACTCCACTACCCTCTCCGGCAATGCATTCCACGCCCCTACCACTCTGAGTAAAGAACCTACCTCTGACGTCTCCCCGATATCTAATGTCATGGAGCTGTTCCTCACTAGGCATAAATAGTATCGTGTGGGTGGAGTTAAAAACATTTACAGAAAAATGTACAGGGAAGCATGTGGAGTAGACCGACTCACATTGGAGAGAAATTTTAATTGCTAGCGCATGCATTTTGAACATTTTTACTTCATAATAATTGTTAGTTATAATTAAATGTGGGTGTTATTCTTGTGAAATGAAAACTTATGCTTAAGGAAGCTGAGGTGAAGTTGTCTAAACCGCTTTATTGAAAGAGTGTGGTATCTGCATTGTGACACTTTGATAATACAAATACTCAAGAAATTCATGACGTAATACATTGCCTTGCCTTCAGTACAATAATAATAGCATTGTGCATGCATGGTAACATGATGGCTTCAATGTAGCTCACTGCTGCTTCCGAGACAGCATATTTGCAGTGGCAGTGAGATAGATCTTATAAAAACTAATTTGATCATTTTGATGCCAATTGCTCAATATCCATACTATGGGAGCTGGCAGCTGAAAACCAATATAAAAGCAACTCACCTCTCAGTGGTTCATTTTCAGAGAGACACGGGTAATTGTCCCAATGTCATTTTACATCCAATTCCAACACTGGCACATTAGTCCTGCAGTCAGTCATGCTGTTGCGCTTCAATTGTACCTGACAGAAAGGAACTGCAATGCAGTATGAAATACATGAAATAGTAATATTTTCAATGCTGGAAAAGCTTAACTCTTAGCATAGTCAGACATATGGCAAAATTCTAATAGAAGTGTATATATTGTCAATCAATGAGTTTGCTAAATATGTCATTACTTCCTTCGATATTAACACATAGGACCAATTTTAGAGAATGTGTTGATAGTAGCAGATTATCTTATTTTCAGAACAATTCTAAAAGACTTATCTAATATTCTGTAGTATTGCTGGCTCCCAAGATCAAGTACATAACGCTGATTTACTAATATACCCCAAAAAGTAATTACTTACTATATCTTCATTGCCCACTCAGCATTCTTTTGTGTCAAAACTTTAATTTGTTTATAATCAGAACTGCATTAAGTTGGTTAATAGGGTAAATACTATTTTACTATCTAAATAAAAACAAGAGAACTTGGACTCAAATCACACACACATCAAAATTAGTGAAGCTTTACAATAGACCTTTGGAATTCTTTGTGTTTATTGACACAGCTTAGACCATTTCTGATTGCAAAGGTGACACTTACTAGCTCAGACCAGACATATGTAAGCCATATTTCACATTACTGAAATGTGAAGTCAATGTCTATGTATTTAAGCAAATTCTTTCAGCATTCAGGAAGCCTTAACATTCTAAACTAACGAATCAGCACATTGACTCCTATTTTCCACACGATCATTCTCAGCATTCCTGTGCTTTGCAATATCCTGGTATTCTGCACACTTGGAATTATAAGGTTAGCTCAGTTGGCTGGACAGATTGTTTGTGATATAGAATGATTCCAACAACATAGACTCAATTCCTGTACTGATTGAGGTTACTATGAAGGTTTCTCCTTCTTAACTTCTTTACTGAGATGTGGTGACTCTCAGGTTAAACCACACTAATGAGACAACAGCCTTCTGAGACTATGGTGACTTTACGTATTTGTAATGGGTAAACAAATGCTTATAAAATATGTAAAGAACAGTTGTTTCATATATTCACCACTTGGCATTTTCAAATATAAGAAGCGTGATTTTTGAAGATTAATGGTAGAAAAAATAATATGTTTATCTCCTTGTCTCCCACTCATCTCTTTCAGATTCTCCATATCAACGTTGAACTTGCTTCAATGACTGTCAGGGACTTGATTATGTTGCTGCTCCTCCCAATGCAGTACTACATCAAGACTCCAAGTTATTCAGAAGTGACAACTCTGAGGTATATCCGCAAGATTTTCTTTTAACAAAATTCCATATTATGTTACATTAGCTACCTGAACTTGCACTTGAGTCATGGTGTTCATAATGCAGGTATTACAAGGCATCTTTAAGTAAAGCCATGTTTATTGTGACCATTTTAAACTATAGAAAATGTAAGTGGATAAGTAAATGTGAAATAGCTTGTAAGATCTAATTATCAGCTTGAGACATGAGTACGAGTGGAATTCTATGTGGTGGTGCAAAATGGCAGTTTAATAAGCTGCACATTCTATGCAGCGCCTGATACATAAAATGAAATATCAGGTACTGAGAACAACAGACAGCCAATAGATACATTTTGTGCCACTACCTAAGATAAAATTTCTACACCAGAGCACCTGGTTAAAGTGGTTAACTTTTCCACACACTATTTTAAACACATTGGGTTTCTAAACTAGAGGTAATACACACTAATCAACATCCAAAAATCCAAATCTTGAACTTCACTAGTATGTTCCTGAAAACTTATTTGATTTCATGTAGCCAGTCAAGGTTGGTGGGATTACAATCAGAAAACCAGGATTTGTAGATGTTTCAAGGAACGGCATTCTGTTTCCTTCACCACACCTCGATATCCATAGCCTGCTCAGTCGTCCTGGTAATTAAACAGCTTGTTACATGCTTGAAAACTTTGTAAATGAATGTCATTTCTGATGATTGACTAGTTGCTGCAAATTTGAAGTGGCACAGATCTAACTAGAGTAAACTTAGGGAAGACCCATCAGTTTGATTGACAAGTGTTAATTACTAACAGAAACAGATGGACTGGAATAATTATTTCCAAATGAGCAGAATATAATGTCTATTTCCCTTGTCATTTCTCAAGCAGCTACATGGCAATGTGTTGCAGTGCACAGCCAAGCAGCTGATGCACCTGGACATGCCCATTACTTGCTAACACTTGACCCCCACAGCTCAGTACCATTGGTGAAGAGGGCAGGCAGAACCAGACGCAGGGAGATGCATCATCACTCTTAATAATCAGCATTGTAAACAGTGCCATGGATGGGAGAGATATTAAATGGAGTGATCAACACAGTTTGAAGCACAGCAGCTAACAGAAATCAAAGGGATAGTGATAGACACAGCTGCTTCAAATCCCACACTTCCTAGAGGTGTGTTATAATACCTTTGAGCAGGTTGTTTAAAAATATATAGATGCAGCTGGGTAGAGGACAAATCCAAATCTGAGCTCTGCTGAAGATGGCAGAGGTACATACTCTAATGGCATAATATTTAAGCAAAGGACATTCCCCATACCTCAGGAATTGTTTTAGGCAAGGATAGCCTGACTTTAAGTAACCTTGCCATGTCAGACAGTATGAAGGAATCTGCATCCAGCTTTTGCAACATGATGAGGCAAGACTCCAATAGTCTGCAACCTACCCTGAAACACGAAGGAGTCTATGGAAACATTCATTTCGGCCCTAACACAATAATTTTGCAGGACCAGCTACTTTTTTTTCTGGAATTCAATCAAACTCCAGCCTGTATTCTTTTCATGAATTGGAATACCTGAGGGATTATGAGGATAGGGTCTTTGATTGCTCCGTACACGTCCTAAAGTCTATTCTCTTCAAGATCAATGTATGTGTTGAAAGAAAAGTTGCATAGCTGCCATGCATTGTACCACAATGCATGCTGCTCCCTCTAGGAATGACAGCACATCTCTGCCTTGCGCCTCCTCAAGGTCTTGTTAAGTCACAAGGGACAATGATAGCCTTTTGCCTACTCAGATTTTGCTCCTGGTTGAATTCAAGCTAGATGACTCAGATTCCACATGCTTGTTCATGCTCTTTGGGTCTCCAGCTGAACTTCCTAGATTTGCTGCTTCTATCTTTCTTTTTCTACAACCATATAGGTTTTGCCAGAACTTTTTCACATTTTTCAAGCTGCACAGGCATCTAGAAATCTTCAAACTAGGCAGTTTCCCACAAACTGTCAAAACAATGAACCAGGCCAATTTGTTTTCTACCAGATTCGATTAATTAAATAGTCCTTCAGATGGTCTGCTATCTATACAACCAAGTTTGCTGTAATTCAGCATACCCAGTAATCCTGCTCTTTACCATTAAAATTGCTTTGAGGTCTAACCTGCATCACAGCTTTTAGATTTACATAAAGAAATGATCTGCCATTGAAAACAGTTATGCGGCTGTCCTTAACACAATTCTATTCCAAATTGTATTGATTGCATCACCAGCATTAACTGGTAACCAAGCACATTGTGAGGCTGTTACCATTCTATATATACAGGTGGGTTAATTTAAAATCATTCTTATTGTTTCTTATATGTAAATCAAACTAATTGCTTAATTGTTTGTCATTAGAGTTAAACCAAATAAACAGCTTAATTGTTATTCCCTCATTGATCTAGAATCTTATATTCAACCACCAAATACTGGTACATGATCACATGTTTACATCCAGGTCCATACTGTTAAAGGCAAAAGTTTAATTAAAGTGCTATGAACTCAACATAAAGACTTTCAGTATGACAATGCAAATAAACTAAGCCAGTCAAACCAGAGGGGTGCAGTTTGCTCTCCATTCAGTGCTAAGTTTATCTATGACAAGCTGGTTGGCAGTAAGGGTGTGATAAAGAGCTTCTGCTCCAGTGGGCTAGGGAAAAGAAAACTTCAAAAGAGTTCCTCCTACAAAGACGTGCATGTATGGAGGTGGTCAGGTGACAACCAGATTGGGTTTAGTTGCATCACTTTGACATTCCATAGGCTTCCACTGTATAGCCACTCAGACACCCATAAAGCCTGTGGAACTGTACCCCAGTGAGAGTCAGCACAAGGAGAACTGTATCCCAGTGAGAGATAGGGGAACTCTATGGCCTGCAGGAGAGAAGAGGGAAATCTTGGGAAGAAACAGAAAACAAGGATGGTTTTAACAAGACAAATGATAATACATTGGGGAGGCAGAAAATCACCTTATATTTTGGGCTGCTATGTCATGATTTCTTTTAAGAGACATTCTACTGCTGACCTCTCTAACGTGTGGTTGAAATCAATCAGATTGCTTGTCAGGAGCTTAAACTCAGGGATTCAGATTGTTTCTTCCTTCTTTGATTGAATGGTAATATGCATATACTTGCCATGTGTAATTTTGGTGGAAGGCTAGCAACAGGCATCCTCTGTCCTCCTTGAGCATTACTGTGGTGTGATTCAGAAATGACCGGTCAATGTGAGAGCTATTGGTCGGGTAAATCCACAGCTGCACCTGCTCAGCGATGAAGTAGCACAGCATTCTAGGATGCAACACTCCATCTGGATTTCTTATCCCTGAACCATTTCTTACACGCAAAGCCGGAAGTGGGTGCGAAGAATTGGACTGCGTAACCTCCAAATTGGAGTTGAGTTTGTTGTCTGGCAACTGTAGCCACCTTTGAGCTCAAGAAGTGAAAATTCTCAGGTGTGTAAGCACAGAATATAAATATGAAATGCATTTTTTTAGGGGTTTGCTAGCAGCAGAACTCAGGAATCAGTCTTCCATGCTTGAACAAACTGGGAGAGAGAGTTGACAACTCTTGCTATTCTGCAAGATCTGACCTGGCTTTCTGCCCTGTCTGCTTTCTCAGATTTGTTTAATCATTATAATTATTTCCATTTCACCAGCCTGCGGTGTGAGTCAGCACCAAGAACTGATCCAGTTATGTCTAGTTTGAAAATTGAACTCTCACATTGCGTAACCAGAGACCTAGAGACATCAGAAAGATCAA